AAGAGAAGGGAAGGAATTTTAGATGTCTATCATACTTAATGAATTATTAGACAGGGCAAGTGATTCCTCCGTCATCTACCTTCTCCCGGTGTTATTATTAATAATTAAAGAATTATTATATTATTTTAGCCCCCACCAAATGGTATTCTATCCTAACAGTTTAATTAAACATGTAAGAACAGACATTTGGAATTTAACAAACTATGTAGTTTAAAACTTGACATACAGCTTTATTTACTACAATGAAATTCCCAGTTTGTTGATTTACACAAACAGTGACTGGTTAATGAAAGTGATACGCTTCAGCGAGATAAACAGCTCGGGGTTTAGAGTGGTATGATAATGATGATAAAAGGTTAACATAAAGGGGTTAACTCAACTTATAAGCCTCTGACAGCCGTGAGGAACTGTCAAGCTTGTCCAACTCTTCCTTGCCTGTTGTCTGCCTGTTTCAGCTTATTCTCCACTTCCTCCCCACCTCGTTCTCCACATCGTTCTCCACCTCGTTCTAAACCTCGTTCTCCACCTCGTTCTCCACCTCGTTCCCAGCTGGCCGAGTCTAACACAATGTAGTCTCTTTCATGGACTGATCGTCACATGGGCGCTGTAATTATGGAAACAAAACACATACGTGTAGTATCTTGACTTACACTAAGAATACATGTATTAATTAAGATAACATATAATAATAAAATATCCCATCACTCCTCCTCATATTCCACATCCTCTCCAGTCTAGTCTGAAGGTCTTTTTGTCTTACATGGGCGTCACATATCCTGCCTTCCCTCAAATGCTATGTCATGATAGTTGACTTTCTAAGTCTGTTGTCCGTCATCAATCAGACTTCCAACTGGCTGACATTGATATTACATGACCACGTGGAGCAGGTTATGTGCTAAAAACTCAAACAATTTATATGTGCACTCTGTCCTGAATATTATCTTTCAGTGACAGTAAATACTGTACACCCATCATTCTCCCCCTGGGGTTATAAATCCCCTGTTTAGTTGAACACATTAAGTGAGCACATGGTGGGCACACAAAACGTAACAGCATCCCTGCACATATGGGCATCATGGAAACAATATAATTACATTTCATTATATCAAATGTCATTGTTCACATCTTATTTTCTACACATGAAAACATACACTGAAAAACATGTGACACAAACATACAGGAAATAGGAATAGTTTAGCAGTTCCCTAACTTGAGATACTGAGATACTGAATACTCACACAGAACTATTTCAAGCAGAATGTGCAGACAAATTAGGAAAAGGTAGTATAGACTAAGCTTAACTCCCTAACCTATGTATACAAGATTAAAATTAATATTTTCTCTCACCTGGGAACTTTTCCATCTATCGCCAAACCAGAGTACGACAGTAAAATATACCTTTACGTCGACCTATGTTTGTTTGCCGGCAGGCTGCGATTAATGACGGGAATTCCACAGGCTTGAAGTATAAGTATCAATCTATGATCCAAATTAAACTCCTCCCTTTCCTGGGTTCTGCCCAACCCTCAAGACGATGACTTAAGCTCCGCCTCCGGAGTACTTCTCAGATCAAATTGGCTAACCAGTGATCTGTCACTCACAGTGAACGGCCTACAGTACGACATTGACCAAGATAAAACATTCCTAATTGCCAAACACCTGTTCTCCCCAGAATTACACTGACGTGTTAAACTTTAAACTTCTCGTCGCCTCTATGTCTACAGTCCGCTCAATTCGTGTTAGGTAATCTTTTATGACCTACGGTCCAGCTCAGGTGTGATGCTAAGTTCCCCGTTCGCTGGCCTCTACAGTCTGGTCAGGAGATAACATTCTGACACTGGCATGAGAATAGAATTCCTAGCTACAGTGTAAAGTTTTAGGTAATATTACCCAAGGTTCAGTCGCTTTGTCTGGACTAAGGACTGGAAACGTTTAAATCAATACGGTTTAAAGTAACATTTGGTTTAAGGGCATAGTCTCTTGTCTCTCAATAACCAGAAGAACTTATTACAAGTACTAACTTCTGGAATCACTGAGATCGTATCGTGACAGCCTCGAACCTTCCTTTCGTGGCTTCTTCTTACAATACATGCTGTGAAGGGTTGGCACCCATCACTATCCGCCATCTTCTATTTCGTGTACTTTCAGTAGAACTGACATAGATGATCTTCCTTTCATAGTCCATGCCATGTGGCGTTGATAGTCGTGTCTATTCACAACCTTCTATGTCGTGTACCTTCTATCAGTTATAACACAGGTGCTCTTTCCGGTCGAGGCCTTTCATGGTCCATGCGTGTGTCGTTGTTAGTCACGTTTATCCACAGTAATCTGTCTCATGTACTTTTAATTAATTATGGCACAGATTGTCTATCATAGCCCATGCCATTGACTTGGCAGTCATAACTATTCACAACCTTCTGTCTCGTGTACTTGATGTCAAACTGTCCAGCATCTTTTTTTCTCGGTTTCCGTCTGGTGCTGTAATTTCCAACTTTTCACGAAGTGTCCTGCACTAGTCAGCTTCAAACAGCAGAGTGGTACTACTAATACATGAGTACAAACTAAGCGCCACTCATTGGCAGCTTACTGTCCACTCACTGTCCACTAACTGTGCACTCACTGTCCGCTCACTCTCCGATTACTGTTCCCTCACTGTCTGCTCACTGTGCACTCACTGTCTGCTCACTGTCCACTTACTGTGCAGTCACTGTCCACTCACTGTCAACTCACTGTCGGCTCACTGTCCATTGTATGTACACACACTGTCCAGTCACTGTCCGCTCACTGGTCATTCGCTGTCCACTCACTGTTCACTCACTGTCCACTTACTGTCGACTTGTCCCGTCTACAGGCACAGAGGCACGGCTTCAATGGTCCAGTGTGTGGGCCCAAGCCTACAGAGAAACGTTATGTGGAGTTTACAGACGAACAGTTGAAGGCTGGAGAGACTATCATTGGGCTGCAGGTAAACACGGCCACTTTTCCTATTCAGAGGTTTTTATTGTACGACTGCAGTTGCTTGTTGCTGTCTTACTAATACTACTGCTGTCATATTACTCCTGTCATACTATTTCTTCTTCTTCGACTACAACTACTTTCATATTACTACTAAGACTGTCATATTACTAGGTAAAATTACTACTATTGTCATGCTACTACTACGGTCGTGCTACTACCAATACGACTTCTACTGCTATTCTACTACTTCTACTGTTATATTACTACTAGGGCTGTACCGAATATTCGCTTCGTATTTGCTTCGGGACCGAATAGTGGACCTGTTGACTATTCGGTATTCGGCCGAATAGTTGCGGTCGGGCCGAATACTAATAGTAGTTACCTTACACCCGCTTCTGCATACACGGCCTTAATGCTGTGAAAACATGGAACGATTGGTTTTGTTGAAAGCTAATAAAGCTTTCCTGCAATAACTAAGCTGTCAGTGACAATTTCCCAGTTTAGTTACTTGTTATAATACTTAGGATTCATTCATTACTAGTTATTAGTTACCACAAACTGACTGAAGGATGCAAAACATATAATGTTTTTAAATGTTAACTATTCTGTACGAATACTAACTAGACATGGAAAGGCCACATCCAAGTAGATATAATGAAAATCAAACGAACAGAAACATAACTACTTGGGTGCAAACTTCAACTGCTCCAACATGTTTAGAGAAGAAAAACAATCTAGAATACGATCTAGAAATAAAGTATACTATGCCCTTCAACATCTGCTAAAGTCAAAGTCTCTGTCTCGCAAAACCGAGATCAAAATATATAAAACGTTGATAGGACCAGTCTTTTATTTGGCTCCGCAACTTGAAGCAGAAATAAAAGAGATGAGGCCTTATTACAGGTTTTTGAAAACAGACTTATGGCAAATCTTTGGACCCATCAAAGATGCTAACAGCGGGGAATGGAGAGTGAGAAGCAACAACGTAATACATAATCTGTTTAAATCACCATTGATCACTGGCATGATGAGAGCTAACAGACTAAAATAGTTGGGGCGTATTGAAAGAATGTCAGATGACAGAGAAGTAAAAACTGTATACACCTGAGAGAGAAATAGGCGTTGGCCACAAAGCAAACAAAAAAAAATTTCGGGAGATAATGTCCAGCCACACTGCAAATAATTGGTATCACAAATTGTGAAGATAATGCTAGCCAGAGAGAGGAATGGAGACGAGTGATATCTGCAGCAGTAAACCTCAAGGGCTCAGAATTCTAAAGAAGAAGATGACTATTCTGTGCTACTTTATGTGAAGTAAAAGTTCAGCGTACATTTGTCATTGTGAATGTGTTGTTCCTTTTTTTCTTAAAGATATATTTTATACACTATACACTATTCGTATTCGTGTTCGTATTCGGCCGAATATTTGGTCCCGTTATTCGTATTCGGCCGAATAGTAAAAACCACTATTCGGTACAGCCCTAATTACTACTACTATCATATTGCTATGACTTACATATTACTATGTTAAACTACTACTACTGTCATGTTAATACTACTACGACTTCTACTGTCATTCTACTACTACTGTCATACTACTACTATTGTCATATTACTACTGTTAAATTACTACTGTCATACTACTACTACTATCATACAACAACAACAACAACAACAACAACTACTACTACTACTAATACTACTACTACTACTACTACTACTACTACTACTACTACTACTACTGTCTTACTACTACTGCTGCTACTACTGCTACCTCTACGGCTACGTCTACTACTACGATAATGACAACGACGACAGTGCTATTACTACCATCACCGCTACGATTATTCCTACTGCTGTTGCTGATGTTGCTTTTACTACTGTTACTGCAACCATCACCACAGTCAGTTCTAAACTGGTTTACTGTGCTACTATTACTACCGCCACTACTGCTGTTTCTACTACTACTACCAACATCATTACGACTACTAGTTATGTTACACATATGTCAGGGTTACAACTTACTGCACACTTTGTTACAGGCTGGAACCAACAAACTGGCCTCACAAGCTGGTATGACAAGTATGGGAGCAACCAGGCACGTGGCAGACATTAGGGCTGATAACTGTGTCAAGGAAGGTCAAGGCGTTATTGGGCTTCAGGCAGGGTCCAACAAATTCGCCTCACAGGCTGGTAAGTATCGTGGTTGTCTCTTCTGTGTCTAGAGTAGCTAATGTGGCTTGTGCTGTAGGACCAGTGTTGCCACTTTTCTTTGACAAAAAATATCCAAAACGGTGTCAAAAAATAAATAAAACAAACTGAAATGTTGCAGCTCAATATATATTTTAAGCATTGAAACCACACAAAATATTATGTATAATTCATTTATAGTACTCTGATGTACGTTTGGATCCCCGCTGGTGTCATGAAGTTCTTGCACTGTCTAGAAGTTATCAATGGAAGAGACAGAAGCATTTGTGGAAATATGTGTGGATGATATCTTGTCCACAATTTTCATGCAGACTATGTCTTTTATCTCCTCCAGGTATGTCTTTCGGATCAGTGAGGCACGTGTCCGACATTCGAGCTGACGACCAGTGCAGGGAAGGCCAAGGCATCATCACCCTGCAGTCAGGAACTAACAAGTTTGCGTCCCAAAAGGGCATGACGGGTTTCGGAGCGGCCAGACATATCGCTGACACAAGGGTTGAGGATATCACACCGGACAGTCACGCCGTCATTGGGCTCCAGGCTGGATCCAACAAGTTTGCCTCGCAGAAAGGCATGCAGAGTTTCGGGGCTGTCAGGCATGTCTCTGATATCCGAGCTGACAACATTCTCCAGGAGGGGCAGGGTGTGCTCTCTCTGCAGTCTGGGACGAACAGATATGAGTCACAAAAGGGCATGACATCCTTTGGCGCTGTAAGACATATTGCAGACAAGCGCATTGATGACATGGATCAAATTGGTCAAAGCATTGTCAGACTGCAGGCTGGAACCAATAAAATGGATTCTCAGAAAGGCATGTCCGCGTTTGGATCTGTGAGACACGTTTCTGACATCAAAGCAGATGATATCAACCAAGAAGCACATGGAGTCATCGGTCTGCAGGCAGGATCCAACAAGTACGCTTCACAGAAAGGTATGACAAGTTTTGGCGCCGTGAGACACGTATCTGACATACGCGCTGACGAAATAAATCCTGAAGCACATGGTGTTATCGGTCTGCAGTCCGGATCTAACAAGTTCGCTTCCCAGAAAGGCATGACAAGCTTTGGAGCTGTCCGACACGTTTCTGACATCCGCGCTGATGAGATGTCACCTGAGGGTCAAACTGTTCTCAGTTTGCAAGCTGGAACTAACAAGTTTGAATCACAGAAAGGCATGACTTCGTTTGGGTCCGTGAGACACGTTTCTGACATCCGCGCTGACGATATCAACCCACAGGGACACGGAGTCATTGGTCTTCAAGCAGGATCCAACAAGCATGCCTCTCAGAAAGGCATGACAAGCTTTGGGTCTGTGAGACACGTGTCTGACATCCGCGCTGATGAGATTAATCCAGAAGGACATGGTGTCATCGGTCTTCAGGCGGGATCCAACAAGTTTGCTTCACAGAAAGGCATGACCAGCTTTGGATCTGTCCGACACGTATCTGACATCCGCGCTGATGAGATCAACCCCGAAGCCCATGGTGTCATTGGGCTGCAGTCAGGATCCAACAAGTTTGCTTCACAGAAAGGCATGACCAGCTTCGGGTCAGTAAGACACGTTTCTGATATCCCAACGGAGGAAATGAACATGGCAAGTGAGGGCATCGTTCGACTTCAGTCAGGAACAAACAAGATGGATTCGCAGAAAGGCATGAGAGGATTCGGATCCGTGAGACACGTTTCTGACATCAAAGCTGACGATATCAACCCAGAAGCTCACGGAGTCATCGGTCTGCAAGCAGGATCAAACAAATTCGCCTCCCAGAAAGGTATGACAGGGTTTGGGTCTGTGAGACATGTTTCAGATATCCGAGCTGATGACATCAATCCAGAGGCACACGGAGTCATTGGCCTTCAGGCAGGATCTAATAAATATGCCTCCCAGAAAGGCATGACTAGCTTTGGAGCTGTCCGACACGTTTCTGACATCCGCGCTGATGAGATGTCACCTGAGGGTCAAACTGTTCTCAGTTTGCAAGCTGGAACTAACAAGTTTGAATCGCAAAAAGGCATGACTTCATTTGGGTCCGTGAGACACGTTTCTGACATCCGCGCTGACGATATCAATCCACAGGGACACGGAGTCATTGGTCTTCAAGCAGGATCCAACAAGCATGCCTCCCAGAAAGGCATGACAAGCTTTGGGTCTGTGAGACACGTGTCTGACATCCGCGCTGATGAGATTAATCCAGAAGGTCATGGTGTCATCGGTCTTCAGGCGGGAACCAACAAGTTTGCTTCACAGAAAGGCATGACCAGCTTTGGATCTGTCCGACACGTATCTGACATCCGCGCTGATGAGATCAACCCCGAAGCCCATGGTGTCATTGGGCTGCAGTCAGGATCCAACAAGTTTGCTTCACAGAAAGGCATGACCAGCTTCGGGTCAGTAAGACACGTTTCTGATATCCCAACGGAGGAAATGAACATGGCAAGTGAGGGCATCGTTCGACTTCAGTCAGGAACAAACAAGATGGATTCGCAGAAAGGCATGAGAGGATTCGGATCCGTGAGACACGTTTCTGACATCAAAGCTGATGATATCAACCCAGAAGCTCACGGAGTCATCGGTCTGCAAGCAGGATCAAACAAATATGCGTCGCAAAAGGGAATGACAAGTTTCGGAGCAGTCAGACATATTTCAGACATCCGCGCCGATGATCTAGACCAGAAAGGTCAGGGAGTTCTGAGTTTACAAACCGGTACAAACCTGTTTGATTCACAAAAGGGAATGACCGCCTTTGGGGCGGTCAGACACATCTCTGACATCCGCGCTGACCAGATCGCACCCGATTCTAATGCCTACATTGGTCTTCAGGCCGGCACCAACAAATTTGCCTCCCAGAAAGGAATGTCAAGCTTCGGAGCAGCCCGCCATGTTTCCGATATTCGAGCAGATGATATGAGCCAGGAGGGCCAAGGAGTCATCGGACTACAGGCTGGCTCCAATAAGTTTGCTTCACAGTCTGGAATGACTGCAATGGGATCCGTGAGACATGTTTCAGACACCCATGTCGAGAATATGTCTCAGGAAGCGCAGGGCGTCATCGGTTTGCAAGCCGGTTCCAATAAGTTTGCCTCCCAGAAGGGCATGACCGCAATCGGAGCTGTCAGACACGTCGCAGACACCAGAGTGGAAGACATGACTCAAGAAGGACAAGGCGTCATTGGCCTACAGGCTGGGTCTAATAAGTTCGCCTCCCAGTCTGGGATGACCGGATTCGGAGCTGTCAGACACATTGCAGACACAAGAGTCGAAGATATGACTCAGGAAGGACATGGCGTCATCGGATCACAGGCTGGGTCTAACAAATATGCCTCCCAAAAGGGTATGACCGCTATGGGAGCTGTCAGGCACGTCGCTGATACCCGAGTGGAAAACATGACCCAGGAAGGACAGGGTGTCATTGGACTACAGTCTGGATCCAACAAGTTTGCCACACAGAAAGGTAGGTAATGTGACCCCTCCAGGATTGCAGACCGCAGGAATAACACCTCAAGTATGAGAATCCTACTAGTAAAATCCTTGAAACCCTGTTCAACCTCATAGCAGTTATATTGGGGCTCCTAGTTGTTACATGTTAACCCGAAGGTCGGACCGAGTGCGCAATGTTGAACACACAGAAAGGTAAGTGTGGCCTCGGTGTGCGTCTGCTGTTTCCCCTTACGTATCTCAGTAGGTTTCTGAGTGTCTTCAGCTGGGTGTCTTCGCGGGAACATGCGTGACTCTGTTACTTCTTCAAGTGAACATTCAAGCCAGTGATTTAACCAACACGAACTTTCGAAGTCTTTGTGTTTTTTAGACACTAACATTCAAATCTGTGTGTTATCTAGACACTAACATTCAAAATCTTTGTGTTATCTAGACACTAAGTTTCAAAATCTGTGTTATCTAGCCATGAACAGTCAAAATCTTTGTGTTGTCTAGACATGATCAGTCAAAATCTTTGTGTTGTCTAGACATGAACAGTCAAAATCTTTGTTTCATTTAGAAACGAACATTCAAATCTGTGTTGCTGCCTAGACATGAAG